AACGAGCCGTCTCTGAGCCTTCATTGCTAGGTCGTTTTTGTCGGACAGTATCCCTTATGGAATGCTTGGGAGTCGCAGGTTCAATCTACTTGGGAATCTTTGGGGCGTTTTTATTGATTAAATATATAAAAAATCATTATTGCTTGCCATATTTCAGATCCAACAATATGAGCGAAGGAGTTATCCTCAAAAATGTACTAAGCTACCCCACTTGGGGAGAACACCTACGATTACAATATTCCACCCCACGATAGTGCGAAATTTTTCTTCTATTGCAGACCTACTTCAAATCTCACAACGAACTGGATCTCCGCAGTAAAATCCTCTCACTTTGTGGTGACGTTCTCGGAGGAAAATGGGTCGATCTTCATCCAGACAACGTTTCCATCAGTAGTATCCCGTAAGATCTTTTCTTGAGATAAATTTCATTTTTTTTCGGAACAGCTGTTTTTTCGTGGAAGGTTCAATTTTTTATTTGAAGTGGTGGCTTGACGAATCTCGTCTACTTGGTGAGTCGACCGAAGTTCTCATCATCGGACGATCAGCCTTCTACTGTACTTCTGCGAATTCAGTCGCAAACTGATCACGAGAAACTGCTCAATGAACTCGTCGTCTTCACTTCACTAGCCGGTAAGACATAAAAACTACCGAATTCTTTGTTTCTGGAATTCTTTGATTGGATTTGTCATCATGTCAAGCGTAAAAGGTCCTTTAGGTGTGAAACCAGTTTCGTGAAATTTTGAATTTTGACGTTCAATCGATTCTATTTCAGTATTTCTATTCCAGAGCCATCCGATAGGGGTGGGGCAAGGGCTGGGTGAAAACCATGGATCGCCCAAGGCGCAGTTTCTTGAGGCCGGAAGGAGTGAATAGGGAAATGAGCTAGGGATGGTTTAGGATTCCGAACGGTCAATTTATGCAGTGAATAGGGTCCATCAGTAAAAAAGCTCCTCTTCAATGACAGTCTCTGAAGGATCCTGTTCTTTCTTTTCTCGGATTTCACCGAGATCACCAATTTCTTCTTCAGAGAGCGGTCTCGGCCCGAAATTGTTGGGAATTTTTCCTGGTGGACGCTTCGAGGAGTACATTCCAAGCAGACCTGTCGACCACCGCGAAGTGACGGATTCGAGGTGAGTCCTTTGTCTTTTATTTTGCTACAGTAGGCCTCACTCGAGAGAGTAGTTGTGGGCAACAGTCATTATAAGTTATTGTCTCATCCCACTGTGCCAGTTCAGGCACGATCGGAGGGGGAATCCAGCTAAAAGCAGAAAAGTAGCATTATGCTATATTTACAGGATATGCACCCTGTTGGCACGGCTCCTGCCACGATTTCATTCCACTGCTGTGCCAATATCCAAACGACCAGGTGTTGTAAATATGATGCGAGAATGGCTGGCACTTTTTGAAGAGCAGGGCAACACACATGTAAAGATGCGGACGACATCTTTCCAGCTACCTCCTAACACGGTATCTTTCAAGAGCTTTTTTAGCTTCGAAACCTCTGGTAATCGTGGAACTTGATCGGATTTATTGGTGGCCTTCTGTTTCTCATTACTGTTTTGATACCAATTCGATTTGTTACAGTTCCCACCCGTGGTTTCTACAAGTGACTTGGCCAGAGAAATTGACACCGTGGAAGAGTTCCTTAGCACCTCTTCCTCGCCTGTCGTCTTTTGCCATAATGATCTCACTGTAAGTGTTTCTCGTTCGAAAACTTATACTAAGAGTCTAAAAAAAGTAAAATAAAATGGTTGGCAATTGTCTTAAGCTCTCTAGAAGTTCTCCGTTTCTATTTAAACGGTTTTCCCTGGGGGTTCTTGAAAAAGCGTAGAAATTCGGGCAAGAGAAAACTAGAGAATTCGTTTTCGCCGTGGAGCTCTTCGGAGCGTGAATGTTAAAACGACGTCTCCTGTAGGAACATAGCAACCGTATGGATTTGAAGGGAAAGGTTATCTGGGAGGGGTGGTATTTCTGCCTGAGGTCATAAAAGGGTTCGAC